ACGCTTATGTCTTCCACAGCTTCAAAGACAGGGCCACACAGGTAGATATACGTATATAGATATACGTAGTTATACACAGTGTTGGAATTATTTCTTAAATTATTTTATCTAGATAAAGATAATTAAACCATCTAATTATTTCATGTAGATAAATGTAACGGTTATCTGTGGACTGTGGTAATTTATCTAGATAAATAATATAATAATAAGAATATTTTGAAATACTGAAATAGCCAATAATTTACGAGAACCTATAGTAGTGATTCCAAATTTCAATATTATCATCATAGTTAAAAAAACAAATGTTTACTGAAACATTGTCAGTTTTATTTTGTTATTTTATTTTTATTTAAGTATTATATTAAAAATTAAAATTGTATATTATTTTAGTTAATAAATTATACACTAAGGATTTATTAATTAATAAATATTAAATAATTAAAGTAATAAATTATATTATTTATAATATAATTTAAAAACAAATTATCTATTTTTTTATCTAGATAAATGTATGTGTATTTTCATCTTTAGATAAAAAAAATTATGTTATATCTTATCCTATTTAGATAAATTTTGAATGAATTATCTGTTATCTTATCCAGATGATTTTTTGGTTATCTTTTCCCATCACTGATTATACATCAGTTAAATGTTTCACAATCAGATAAAAAAAAATTCACTTTCCTACAAATTCGCAGGCCTGATTAACATAATATTGAGTACCTATATTGATTATTATATTTCCTGCATGACCTATAATATCAAATATTATTTAATTCAGCAGTAATTCTGTGAATGAAAAAAATTATAATAATAAATAGGTAGCTACTTTAATAACTGTTAATTTTTATTTTTATTTAAATTAATATCGAAAGATTAATGGGCCTCACTGAGAAAAACTCGTGTGCAGGGAGGCCCATGAGTTATCTTGGATTACAAATAATTCTTTTTCATAAATAAATCACATAAATAATTCCAGTAAATATTAAATGCCTTAAATTAGTATGTTACATACAATTTTAAGTTCAACAAGTTGAACATGTTTGTTGAGTTATTACATCAATGTTAGGACAATTTTTGAGAGTAGGTACCTATGTCCTATATTATAATATAATATACATAAATTGAGTTTTCATTAGTTTACTAAAATATTTGAAATAACGATTAAATTCTAATAATTTAATAGATCTAATATATTTAGTAATAATAAACATTATGTTCTCTGCATTTATTTAAAACTCTAAGACTTCTATTAAATTAGTCTAGAACTCAGGATTTTTTTCAGTGAAAATTTTTAAAAGATGAAATATAATATGCGGTTAAAATTGTGAAAATATGTTACAATGTTACAAATATGCAAGAAAACTTTCAATTGTGTAATATTATGATGAAAATTCACAAATTAATAGTTTATAAACGTATGGACTCAAAAATAATTTAAAACAAATTAAATAACTTATTTTTATAATTATAATTATATATTATCATACTGGTGTCTACTAAACAAAACATTTTTAATTTGTAATTTATTATTATTAAAATGAATAAGCACTTAGTGCCTATAAAATGTATTATTATTATTATTATCATGCTTGACAAAATATTATTTTATAAATTTTTTTTAAATTTTTGCTTCACTATGCAATACATTTTGAATTTTGTCAAAGTATGTAGAAATATGCAATGACCATTAACTATGCAGTAATATGCAAAAAAAATAGGTTTTATATACAAACGACTAGAATTTGTAAATATAACTGACAAAAATTTGAAAAGGAAAAAATATGCAATTGCATCAAAATCTATAAATTACTATGTTAAGTATTTGTTTGCTTTTACTTAAAAAAATAAAAATATAACCATTCATTTTTCATTATTTATTTAATTTTATATTAATAGAAAGTGACTGATTTATAAAAAAGTATAAAAAAAAACTTTTAATTTTAAACTTAACTTACAATTTTCTATATAAAATCGACTTAACGAGTTCAAAATGATAGTCAACTTGCCAAGCTTTGCATAAATTATAAACATGTTTATTGAAAATTAATAGAATCATAAATCTCTAAACATAAATTTCAATATTTTCCCCAAAGAAATATGTACATTAAGTAATAAGTATCTTCTATAATATATAACTATATTTGATTGTTTAATTAGGTCTTTAAATACAATACTTAATATTTTACCACTTGGATTTTTAGGAATACTATTCACAAATCAAACCTACGACACTTTTGTGCTGAAATATTTTTTAATAAACAATAACATAAGTAAGTTTAATAAATTAATAAAATAACAAATTTGTTTACTCAACTGTGAACGACAGCATTTCATAACTGAATTATCTATTGTATCATCAATACCTGCCCAAAATGAAATCCAACATGTTAACAGTTTGGTTGGAAAATTTATATGTGGCATGTCAAAGAAAGTTAGTTGTGTATATTATTTTTTAAGTTATTAAAAATTTAAATATATTTGTAGGTGATTGATTTAAATAATGGAAAATGATTGAAAGTAAATTCAAGTGGTGTACTGTGTTTCACAGGGCCATAGTCATGAATGGTTATTATGTGAACATCAAAGAAACAACAACAACAATTGATGGTGAAGGATGGCTCCATATAGAGGACGTTGGATACGATGGTAAATATTATAATTTTTATATTGTTGATAGACTCAAAGAAATTATCAAATACAAAGAGTAGGTACAGGTACCAGGTAAAAATGAATGCAGTTAGTTTATTTTATAGTGTTTTTGTGTTGATATTATATTTTTTCTACCTGTAGGTGGCGCCTACAGACTTAAAAACACTGTTATTAACACATTCTAAAATTGAATCCGTGGCAGTTATTCGACTTTCGAATCTGGAAACCTGAGGACTTCCAATAATGTTTGTAGTTAAGGCTGCAAATTCAGCTCTCAATAAGAAAGTCTTCTTGAGAAGACAATTTGTCCACAGTTGAGTAAACAAATTTGTTATTTTACCTTTGATATTTTATTAATTAAACTTCCTTATGTTATGTTATTGTTTATTAGAAAATGTTTTGGCACAAAAGTGTCTTGGAGGAGGTGTTTGATTTGTGAATAGTACTCCCAAAAATAAAAGTGGTAAAAGATTCAGTATAGTATTTAAAAACCTAATTAAACGATCAAAATTATATAAACAATTAATATATAACAACATTTATATTTTATAGAAAATACTTAGTGCAGGAAGTAGGTACTATGTAGACTAAGTACAGTTTATTTTGGTGAAAACATTTAAATTTATGTTCAGAGAGTTATAATTGCATTTAGTTTTCAAATTTCAATAAACATGTTTATAATTTATGCAAAGCTGGGTAAGTTGTGATAACCAAATGATTCGAGGCCTGAATACCATTCACCTAAAAAAGCATGAATTTACGGTCAAATCTTTTTTACTGGACTGCCTGTTAAAATTACCTGCATATGTGGTCTCCGTCTTACAAACATAACAAACATAGAACATGGAAAATTTTAAGTTCACAATAATACATTTTATTCTGCAATTTCTAAAATTAGAGTGAAATGACCTATAATAAAATTTAAATGTAAGATTACTATCTAGGGCATCTTACCTATATGCTTTTTATTATATTTTAATTTTAAAGAGAGATATTAGTATTTTAAAATTGTAAATTGTTTGTACATCTTTAAATACTCATGACTCACTTTCAAATAAATAAAAATATAATAAAAAGCCTATACAATACCCTAGATAATAATCTTACCTTTAAAATTTATAAGAGATCATTTCACTCTAATTTTAGAAATTACAATGTAAAATATATTATTATGAACGTAAAATTTGCCATATTGTATGTTTGTAAGACGGAGACCACACATACTGCTGTGGCATCCTCTTAAGGTAAAGTTACCAAAATATTTATACCAAATATAACTATTGCATTAAACTTAAATACATAGCAAACATAAATAACAGTATAGATAGGAAAAGCTAATGCAATCATTATTTTGATTTGGATATGACTCATTAGTGGCGCATTGTGGCAGTATAAGGAGGGAAATAAGTTTATACTTGCCTCCTGCCACTAGTGAGTTAAATAGAAACAATGAACAATTAATTATGCATTGGTGTTTCATATCTATAGTGTTATATTTTAATCTAAATTAGTATTAATTTTTTATGTACTACACATTTTGAATACAAATGATTATTAGTGGCTCGGCATGGAGCCGTGGCTGAAAATCAATCACGCAACTTGATTTAGAGTAAGCAACGGCCGCTGCTACTAGTTCCCGGATGGGCTACCACCCGATCTATAGTGGCAAAAACCTTACCACGCATAAACGTGTCTCAAATGAACCGTACTAACCCTATCAACCATAACCCCTACAATAGCTAATGGCGAGTTGCCGGGCTCTAGACCAATAAAAAAAATAATTATAATAATTAATACATAATTACATTTCAGTAATTCAGTAATATTATATAAAAGTTAAATATTGTCTAGAGTATAAAGTAATTTTTATTTCCCCGGTCTTAACAATGTAACAAATAGCACAAATTTGGTTATAAAAATAATAAAAGTTTATAATATACTTAAATTATATATTATAGTCCTGTCACCGAGAGAACGCAACTAAGCAGCAACCAAAACTCGTTGTAGTCCGTGCATCTCCCACCATCCAGCGATCGGCCGTTAAGGGATGGTTAACCGTGGTCTACTGGTGGGGGAGAGAGACCTCGAGACGACGGAGCGCGTTCAATTGGATGAGCTGCCGAGTAGCGTTCTCTAGGTGACCGGACTATAGGTAAAACATCCAATAGGAAAAATTATATAATAATTAATATTGATAAAAAAAAAAATAATTATATAAGCATATTATTATGTTTCATTGTTTCATATATAAAATAAAAAACCATCAACCGTAATATTGTATCAATTTAAATGTATATAATTTAAAAAAAAAAAACAGATTTATAATTAGTGCATTAAATATTCCATTGTTAATTATAGAATGCAAAAGGTGGCGGTACTAATATGTAATATTCATTTTCAAAGTTTCTGCAATTACTGAGTTCATCAAAAATGTCCTGTGGAGTTTGTCTTTTGACTATCCTAAGTTTCCGCTTGTTTCTCTTTTCTTCATAAATTTTGGTCCATATGCCAATCTCTGTACAAATCCTAGTAAAAACAAATTATATTTTCACAAACAAACATATTAAACTGTTATATTTTCAAATCTTACCTGTGGATAATTTTACGTTCATCCTTCGTGAACTCAGTTGAAAATGTAAGTCTTTTTTTTGGACCATAGAAAAACCTCATTATGTATTTCTTAGCTTGTATATTAAAGTCCATCAAGTGTCTTCTATTAGTATTAGTATTAGTGTCATAATCTTCCATATCCAGTCCAAATCTTTTTTTAAAATGAATAGTTCTATATACAAGATTCAAGTAGACAAAGATTAAAAAAGAAACTTATTATTATTTTTAATTTATTCAACAATAATATATAAACCAAAAAATCAATAATTTTTTTTTTTATTTAGGTATGTTATATGGATTTTATAAGTACTAGGTAAATTAAATAATTATCAGCCAGTGGCCTAAATGCCAATGATTAGGTATTCTAAACATTAAAAAACCGTTTAGAAGTATTCATTTTTAGAAATTTCTTGTTAAAATTATTAGATTATGATGTTATATTAAAACTTGTACGTGTCAAACAAATGTTATAACTTATAAGCATTAAACATATTTTGAAATAATGATTTACTCTATTGGTGATGTGATTCCTTGGTTATTCTTTCCTAATCCTTGACCTTCTTTCCAACCCATTTTTTTCAAAATCAAATAACCGACATTCATTTCTGACATTTTATTATGATGCATGGTGTAGTTAGAAGTATCAATTCTTGAATCATCCATAACATCTAACCATGTAGTTGGAGATTGTTTATGTTCTTTCACCTAAGCAATTAATGATTTATAATAACACACTAAATAATAGATGTGATATATAATAAATAATATTACCTTATTATTATTATGTATTTACCTTAATAATAAAGCACACTCGCAACAAAAGCTTTAAGGAATTATTCCATGCATACGCAGTAGCAATTTCCTTTTCAGTTGCATCTCCCATTGCTATCAATTGATCTTTGATGTAAAATTTAGCTCGACTATAAATTATAAAAATTAAATGAACTAAATGTTATAAACAATTAAATAAATTCAAGGTGATATTTTGATAGTAAAATAATGTTTTTAAGCTTTACAATTAGATTAGAGATATTTTACTGTAAGTTCAAGTTAAAACTATTAGCTATTTTATAATCAAAACTGGTATCTCTAAAATAGATTGTAACTTCCATAATGATTCAATCAATTTACCTAACTTCTATTGCCATTTGTTGATCAAAACAGATAAGCAAACGCCTACAAAACCATAAAAATTAAATCAAATAGGTAATACAAAACTTAACTGCCGTCTACAATACTGTGACCTACTAATTTAGCAAACCCAACTGGTGATGTTAGAAGTCGCATATAAAGATAATTTACACCTCTATACTTAATACATCTATAACTCTCATTGAAAAATTGTACTCACAGATTTAAAAAAAAAAATTAGATTGAAAATATTAATTTATATACTTACATTTCTAAAGAATTTTTTTAATTTTAAAAACATTGATATTCATACCAACATCTTTACGATATTAGTACTAACAAGTATTGTATAAAAGAAAAATACAATTATTTATGTGTTGTATATTTCTTATTTAATTAATCATTATTTAAAGGAACCAACTAATAATGCAATTTAGTACATAATATGTTATACAAAAAACCTATATTTATCAGTTATTTTTATTGTTGAACTTCAGATGTTATTAAATGTTAATTTAAATATAGAAATTAAAACAGCTTGATACATTCATAATTGCGTAGTTGTGTCAATCAATTCTGCCACTTGTAATGGGAAAGATTCAAGCTTTTTAACAACTTAAAAACATATATTTTAGTAATATAATAGTAACCTAGTTTTACTAATAGAAATAAAATCATAATTACTAATGATCTTCACTTATATGTTCCCTTTTTATTTCTGGTCTTGCTACTCCGCTAAAACTACATGAGTGTTTCAGAATTTCATATTGATGTTGGCGTACACGGTTTTTGACTAACAACATAAAACCTGGTATTATATAGTTCTGATCCCATGGTGTTTTTTTGATAGATTTTGCTGAAATTCATCAAAATCTATATTTAGAATGTAATTTCTTAAAGTAAAATTATTTATACAGATATATTCACAGTAAATAATATTACATCTAGCTCTAGCAGCATTGAAATTGGTTGCACTGATTTTCGGTAATTTGAGTAAATTTCTCAAATGAGAAACAAAACTTTTAGATAGAGTTTCAATAAGATCCATGGTCGTTTTTCCATACCTTAAAAAATTTAAGTTATTGTATAGCTTTTAAGTAACAATTATAATTAATAAACTTTAAGTTACCTGCAATTCTTAAATTCAATATTCATAAAAACATCAGACAAATCCACTACTTTATCTCTATGGTATTTATGTTTATTGGCAATCAAAAATGCTTCCCTAAATTGCCATTGATCCAAAGTTTCAAAGTCTTTTTTATAACTATTAACGTCCCATGATGTGTCGAATTTCATTATCGATAGTACTCGTTTTATACCAACCTATATAAACATAATTTAAAAGAACATACTGTAATAATTGCTGTTAGTATTTTCTAAAACAACAAAACAAATTATTTAGACATATAATTATAAATTATTTTGACTAAAAATTATGTTTATTTTGAAATTCATTAGTAATTCTTATTAAATAAATATATTTGTATATATATTATATTAATAAATATATTTCATAGGTATAAAATTAATCAAATGCTTACACAAGTACTGCAAAATATGGATTATCGATGTGGCTATAAATTTTGTTTTAATTTAGTAAGCCGATAATATTTTTTTTATATACCTAACAAAAATTCTAGTCAAATCTTAATAAATATTTCAACTTAGAATAATCCAAAATAATCATAAGAACATTCAAAATATATATGTCTCAAATATACTTATTGTTACCTATATCTGTACATAGTTATTTGTATTATAGTATAATAATATTATGCATAATATGGAAAATGTACTTTTTATAGTAGGTGGGGGGGATATATCTTTACAAACTATGTTAAGTATAAAAATTCCTGGTTTTTCTGTTAAAGTGCACTAAAATAAATGAGCAAAAAATAAAAATTTGATAAATATAAATTTTAAAATTTTAAATTAATTAATCTTAATAAAAAAAACACCCAAAATAAAACTAAAACTTTTTAAATCATTCAATGCATAGTTATACGATTTGTAACCTAACCAGTACATATCATACAACCATACAGGTACAGGACTATTTATGTTCTAAAAAAATAAGTCAACACTTATAAGTCATCAATCGGTGTAGGTCGATAACTCAAAAAAAAAAAAAAGAATGCGTTACAACTAACGTTACTCATTTAAAATGAATAACAAATATTATCATATAATGATTACTGAAGTAGTAGGTATTTTATTACCTATATAAATTGTATAGCACTATATTATACTATAGTAGGATACCTAGGTCAAATATTGATGATGTAGGTGTGATAACTTAATGTTATGCATGAATAAATTGTCAAAGTATTTATTCGTGGGATCTTTAACAATTTTGTTGACTATAATTATCTAACACTTTTGGAATCATAAATAAATTTAACTGATTTTTAATTTATCTCGAATATTCTAGGACCTAGATTTTGCCATACATTCTACATTCTTAACGTATTTCAATAACGTGGAAAACTATATGTTACTCCATAGAAATGACTTTTAAAAAGTAATTTCGGTACAATTGCAAAAAAATAATAATATATAGGTAGGTACCTAATGAAATAATACCTAATAAAATTAGTACAGTGTTATTGCAAAAGTATTTTACCTACATTACAGTTATTATTGGTAATTTGTGTTACATTACCTACTACCCAACACTGATTACAAATGAACATTGAACACAACAAACATAAGGAAACGTAAAAAATCTAATTCAAATATCGTGTACCTACAACAGGTGTCAGGTGAATTCAATGGCACGTCACGATAAAATTCTCGTTTGCCAATAACAAGATTGAAAAATAAACGCAAACCTTTGGAAAAGCCAAATAAAGCCGGACTCGTAGCACTTACCTGTGTAAAAAGTCAATAATCTCGACCACTGAACACGGGCGGTGTACTTTATCCAGAGACTTGAATAATCGTGGTTTCACGGAAAATATGGCGGTCGCACAGGAGCGCAGTTGTCGATTTTTTCAGTATCGCAAATTGACAAATGACAATGTCCTACGTGTGTGTGTGCCATAGATAATATATATTATATGCATTATCTATGGTGTACACACCCAATTCCAATACGATGACTCATACCGACTACTACGACAAAAGAACAACATTGAATAGACACTCGATCAGATGGTCGGGTTTGTGTGTCCCCGGGCTATGAAGGAAGATTTTCGAGAAGAAAAATTCGACACGTATCGATGTGGAATAAATTTACGTTCGAAGTCTGAGCCCGATACGTATCGCTTGTATATTGCACACGTAACTTCTCGAACGCTCTTGAACTCGAATTTCTTCCTCGAAAGTCTTGAACTATTGGGCTCAAAAAATTGTACCGGATCCGTAATCTGATGAGAAGTTGGTAACGTGTATGCCAATTTGTTGCGATATTATAAAAAACGAAAACAATCCATTGACGACCGTTTTGATTCATTCAAAGTTTCTCATGCACGGTATGATTGTCAATATTGTCACATTTTGCTGTGCGATAAGAATTAAATATTACAATATTGTTATTTGACATTTTTCAAATAATTTATAAAATTGATATGAAATGTTTCATTGATAACGTTATACCGCGCTCCACGGGCCCGTCTTCAAGGCCATAGTCACTCGGTTTGGCCATAACCATAGACCTATAAACTAATGGACTGCACCTCACTCACCACCCAGCCATCAATGAGTGGCGCCAATAGAGAGTGAGAGAGAAAGAACATATTGGGGGAATCTTGGTGGACAATCATATAGGAGAAAGAGAGAAAAAACATATTGGGGGAAATCATAGACGTATGAAACTAATACTGTGTATCGTACCACTGACCTCTCTCTCTAAGCGCTGTCCATTAGTTTATAGGTTTTGGCCATAACACACAAGGCCTGCTATGACCAGTGTTCAGTGTTGGGCAAGTTACTTTTAAAAAGTAATTAAGTTACTTTACTCGTTACTAAGAGATAAATGTAATTAAGGTACTTTACTCGTTACTCGAATACAATTGTAATAAAATTACTTTACTTTTCAAACAGAAAAGTAACTCATTACTTTCTCATTACAAAAATATAAAAAAAAATTTTAAATTTCTCGGCAATCATCTTCTGCAGGCAAATTGAACAAGCAAATTCTTTGTAAAAACCTGTATAATTAATAGGATCATATAAAATGTAGTCTTCCGCACAAGCTATATTCATAGGAAACCTATTTAAAGCAGTAAACTTAAATAATAAATTTAATTAACTGTTCTCGTGATTTTCGGTGCAATTATACATTTCAAATGTCAAAACCATTGAAAACTGAATTGTACAGAGTCAAAATTAAATTTACATATTAGATTGGTAAACGTAATAATATACCGGCATTATACATATATTTTTTTCAATAAAATTCACAATTGGTAGGTAGGTAATTAATAATTCGAAACTGTAACGCGTCATTCTATAGAAATATCTTTTCAAAAGTAATTTCCATTGCATTTTCGTTACTTGGAAATAATTCTAATGTAATTACGTAAAGCGTTACAAGCAAAGTAACGCGTTACTTTCGTTACGTTACTACGAAACACTGCTGCTGCTCTTGTGCAACACGAGTGTAGTGAGTGCCTTACAAAACGGAAATCGAAAAAAAAAGTCCCGGAAAAAAAAGTCCCACACTAGGAAAAAAAAGTCCCGTAAAAATGAATTAAAATATATCAAAATTAAAGTATAAATATGTTAAAATTGTAATGAAAAATAAATTAAAGTTACATAAAAAAATCATATAATTTCATAAAAAATAGAAGGGAGCTTACATACCTATATACTACATAGTGTATATATTATAATATATATAATATTTAATTTTCAAGTTCCTTAATGAAGATCGTATTTTTGGCTTTTTCTATAATTTAGTAATTTACTATTTAGTTTTAGTGTAATGATAGGTAGTATGGTATATTATATCAAATTGTATAAATAAATATAAAATGTTGCATACTATTAATTATTCATCATAAACTGAAAGGTAATTAGCAGAGGTAATTAAAAAAAAAAAAAATTAGTTGTTATAATAGGAATTCATTTTGGATGGTTTTTCAAATATAGTGACTAATAAATATATAGGAAATTACTATAGTTAAGTATTTATAATTTTAACTTTGATTAGGAACATAACACAAAAAAAAGTTTTTTGGTATAATAATAGGTTATTTGTATACCTATTAACAGGCCTTTTTAAAGGCCATAAGTCATAACATAAGAAAGAGGTGTAGGTACTTAATTATTATAATATTACATTTTTATGGTATTATTATTATAACTATATAGGTACAATGATTATATTTATTATTACTATTGTATTACATTTTATTATTTTAGACTTGTATTAAATTAAATTTCATTATATTTTAATATGTTATTTAAGTAAGTAATTAATATTTTTTATGATATTATATGATTTTTTATGTAACTTTAATTTGTTAATACACTTTTAACATATTTATACTTCAATTTTGATATATTTTCATTATTTTTTATTAATATTTATGGGACTTTTTCACCGGCACTTTTATAACGGGACTTTTTTTTCCGCGATTCTACAAAACAGGTCAGCCAACCATTAAACTTAACAGAATTATTCCTTAACTTAATTCTTATTCCTTTACGAGGGACGAGCCTATAAATTCCATAGATCCGGTGGTAAGTATAACTGTTCCGATGCCACTGTTGTTCATGCATTTATTCGATATCTACGTCGGTGATAAGATAACATTCAAATAATTACCCTCTTGAATTTTAAATATTATAATCATTATTATTAATACAAGTATATAATAAAATTGAGCATTGTAATAATTTTGATATCCTAAATCTAATTGTGATACACCCGTACACCTAATGATAACTTCTTGGCAATATATTCTATTTATCTTCTGCGTTTAAATTTATATGAGGTAACTCACTTCTATTACATGGATGGCCCACATGTAATTTTTGATACATAACCGAACACGTGCCATCGTCTTTAGAAGTTTTTATATTTATAAGCACAGGGCAAATACCACCTAATTTTTTAGAACATATAAGTTTTGGGATAATTTTTTGGGCAGTTTTCAAAAGTTTTTCTACCGAACGATGACATATATATTGTTTTACAATAACCGTTTTTGTATTCCATGACATAGCTACAGGAAACTGAATAAAATACTTTTGTTCTTCATTAGTTTTCCATTTTTGAAATTCACCAAAAGATGTGAACTTTAAATGTTCATACACAAAGTCTATAAATTGTGGTATTTTTGGTAGTG